CCAGAGGGGGTTAAGAGGTTCTACCTCTATTCTTGCTGTCTCTACCCCTTCCCTTCGCCCGGGAAAGGGATTCCGAACCGCGGGCCAGCTGATGATCGCTGCGCTCCGCAGATCTAACGCCGTCCCAGGAGGACGGCTACAAAGTAGCCGCCATCATCGTCGTTCCCCACCGGAAGCTCAGGAGGGATTTTGTTTCTTAAGGTGAATGAAAAACTTGGGTGAGGTATTTACTCTCCTAAGTGAAAAGATTTATTCAGAGCAAGCTTGATAGGCCAGAAAATGGGCTGAAAATAGCACCATGAAATATAATAAAATTAGAAATTCTTCTATTAAGTACAGGATGGGTAGCAGCGCTGTGATAGATATGAAGATCCTGGAATTGTAGCCGATGGCTGGCTGATTATGAGTCAGCAGGTGATCCAACTGCCAGAAAGGCAAACACAATTTTAGGTTATGTGGTACATTTTCAGAAGTGATCATGGGAACAAATAATTCCAATCTGTTATCATCAGTCAGATACTTGCATGTTGTTGGCAGTTTTGTCCACTGCCGGATTCAGGCTAACTGCAAGCGGTTCTGACAAGTCCACAGAGATTCAGTTTTATTACATTTATAAGGCCATCTGATTCTACGGTAGCTCTGGATATGTACAATAACAAAGCAATCCAAAATTACAAACCAAACAGCGACAGGTGTCAACAATGGACCAGAAAACAAGCCTGAGAGGAACTGGGTAAGTTCAGTTCTGAGAACAGAAAGAGAGATTTATAGTGCAAATTCTAGATTAAATGTTACGAACATTTAACTTTCAGCCATCCATTTTTCTGTGTGTAATTTAATAAGCTATAATATTTTCCTGAAGATGTTATTTAGATAAGTCACATTTCATTCATACTAGATCAGTAAGAATATTTAGGATATAAGTTCATGTGATTAGATTAATTAAACCTATTGCTAAAAGGACAGGAAGAGCCTTGTTCCTGTCATTATTTATTCATGCAGCAGGTTGCTCACCAAATATCAAAAGTGGGGCATTTGCCCATCCCCAGCTGGTGAGAGAGCTCTCTTGGCCAAGTCAACGTCTCCCTTCCCTGAAGGTTGGGAAAAGCTTTTGTGGTTCTTGGTCATTTCCCAGAAAAGCAAGGACCTATGTGGCTGTGGTTCATCCCACCCAGGAAGTTTGGTTTTTCACCTGTTCATTTTTATGAAGAGAAGGGTTTTCTCATTGGACTCCACACAAAGCAAGAACTGATATGTTTAATTATATTTCCAACCCAGAACTAGTAGAATTTCACTTCAATCCAAGGCAGAAGCATTTTGTTTTCATCTCAGGTAATCTTAACTAAAGTTGACTGAGCTGCTTTTCATTCCATCACAAAGAAGTTTAAGTCTGGCAATTTGTTATTACCCATTTTGGTGAGATTCATGTAATATGTTTTGCCTCTGGGAAGCAGAGTTCCTAGTCCAGGGGTAGGCAACCTCGGCTCTTTTATGACTCATGGACTTCAACTCCCAGCTCTGCTGACTCGGGAATTCTGGGAGTTGAAGTCCATGAGTCATAAAAGAGCCGAGGTTGCCTACCTCTGTCCTAGTCCTACTCTTCAAATCTCCCCTCCCCAAGTGGCCAAAAAATGGATGTGGTGAAAACAGGCCACACCTATTTTAGTGATGTCACATTTTCACCAATGGTTTCCTGCAGTCTTTGAGATGGTTGGGAAACTGAATCAAAATCCAAATTTCATTACAGTTTAGTATGATGTATGAATTGACACACAGTAGTAGTGTAAGTAGACTCAAGATGGGCAATCAGTGACATTTTCCCTCCCCAAAAACTGAATGGTCTGTTCTTTTATTTTCCTGTGAGCATAAATCCAAAACATGAAATCCAATGAGGAAATGGGTTTTTGACATCATCCCTCACAGGGAGATCTCTACAAAATCAGAACTAAGCCAGCAATTAGTGCCTGGCAGCCTTTCTTGATGTGACATCACCCTAGTATGTTAGGATTACAACTCCCTGAATTCCACCTCAGAAACTGTGAAGGCTACGTGAACTGAGGAAATATTAAACCTCCAGAGGTTTAGGATTAGGGGAAGATGTACACTAAAAGATTGTGCAAAAAGGTGCTGCACTGTTGGAAAGACCAGCTAAAATGCAAGGTGGCCGGGGAAAAGGAAAAAGCCGGAAGCATAAGCTTATTTATACAGGTAGTCCTCAATTTACAAAGTTAATTTAATGACTGTTTAAAGTTACAATGGCACTGAAAAAAATAACTTATGACCGTTTTTCACACTTATGACCGTTGAAGCATCCTCAGTGACATGATCAAAATTCAAATGCTTGGCAATTGGTTCATATTTATGACGGTTGCAGTGTCCTGGGATCATGTGATCACCTTTTGCCGCCACCAGACGAGCAATATCAATGGGGAATCCAGATTCACTTTACAACTATGTTACTAACTTAACAAATGGAGTGAGTCACTTAACAACTGTGGCAAAAATTCGTAAAATGGGGCAAATTCACTTGACAAATGTTTCACTTAGCAACATAAATTTTGGCCTCTATTGTGGTCTTAACTCAAGGGCTACCTATAATCAGGAACTCTTGAAATCAATAGATGGGGAAGTGCCCTGTTGAAGCAAGTGAGGGACAAGTAGAATACGGTAATAAAAACTGAAAATGTTAGTTCTGCTCCCTCCTGTAACCTATTGTCACACAGGCCCTGTGGCCCTCAAAGACCGAACATTACAAAAATAAACAGCCATTCAACCCATCCCTGTTCTAGATTATCTTTCTTTTGCAATGTGATTCAGCCTGGATTCAGACAGTACACTAAGACAAAACATGTTTAATTTTGATATGTTGTGTGAATCCAGCAATTGTTTTTAAGTATATAAGATTCAGAATGTGCACTGAACAGTTGTGCTTTTTCAACAAACCAGTATAGTAAATGATAACTGAGCATGGTATGTGAGTATTCATGGCACTGTGTTCATCCAACTCATTTTCAGCTATACAGAATGTACTGTATTTGTTTGGACTTAAAATGTTACCTGAATCCAGTCTTTGTGGTTTGTAAAGATAGGACAAAGTATAGATAGTCTTTGACTCACAACCACAATTAGAACCAGAATTTCCAGTGATAAGCAAGGTTGTTAAATGATCTGTGCCCAATTTCACAATCTTTTTTGCCACAGTTGTTAAGCATTTTGCTGCAGTTAAGTGACTCATACAATCTTTAAGTTAATTTGGCTTTTCCCATGGACCCTGGGATGCTGCAACTGTCATAAATACATGCCATTGCCAAGCGTCCAAACTTAATCGTGTAACTGCGGGGATGCTACAACAATTGTTTAAGTGCAAGGACCAGTTGTAAGTCACTATTTTCACTGCCATTGTAGTTTCAAACAATCGCTAAGCCAAAGGTTGTTAATAGAATGCCAATATTTTTCAATACTCCCTTTTAAAAAAAACTGTATAAAATCAAATTGACCACACGCTTACCAATTACAGCGATAATGATCTGCTTTTATACATTGGCTTATATAAGCTATGGAGTGAATTAATTCTGCAACATATAATTGATGCAATCACATTAATCACTGCATTTTCTCTTCTAATTTATATTAGGCAGGCTGTTATTTTTTATGTCTCTGTACTGTTGGTGATCATTCACTGTTTGAAAGACATTGTTCCCGATCCTGGATTTGAGTAGAATGTACTGTTAACATATTAGCATTTCCATTTTGCATACTGCCAGGTCCCAGACTTTAGTCTTGAAATGTGTTGCACTCCTGATGCAATGTATCTGCACTTAGAATTTCAGATTTTCTCTATAGACTCATAAGATATTTTGATGGCCAATAAGCACAGCAATAGGTTAAGTTACAGTACAAAGCCAGTACATTTTGTGCAGATGTTAAATGAACTGGGATTTTCACCTATCTTTTTGATGGGCTTTATCGTCACTGCAGCTTTCTCATTTCCTATTTTTCAAGGAAAGGAAAACATAGATTTTTAATGAATGGGAGACTTGCAGCTTCAGGACCTCAGTTTGCCCACCTGAGACTAGAACCTGAGATGTTTCAGGCAAATCGCAGAGACCTTTTTATTCAGTTTAGCCCCAAAAGCCAACATATTAGATAGATGGCATGATGGAAAGGTTTAGAGGGTTTATGGCTACATTTTACATTTTATCACATGATACTGATAATTTTATTTTGTGTAGTCAATTAACCGATACACCATGTTACATCAAACACTGAATGCTATCTTTAAATCTAGCAGTATTGTTGCATTCCCATGCTAATCTTCTCATGCAGTTATGTTATTACTCTCTGGATTTGTGGATTTGGCCAGGTGGGTCTCTCATTTAAATTAAGTCTCAGTATGGGCAAGACTTGGACCCATAATTCAATACAGTCTTAGCCAAATCTTGCTGCTAAAGAGCGAAAGATAAAAGGGAAAAAGTTTACTTCATATATTCAGTACAAATGTTTATTTTTGCAATGAGAACTGCACAAAAAAAACTTTAGTATATAAGTGAAAACTCTATGAATTCCCTTCTACAAATGTCTAAAGTGTTTAATACAAGTTTCAAATTCACTGACATAATTATTTGCCAAGCGTTCCGTGCATTAAGTACAGTGGAATTGTACATTTCATTTATTTATTTGTACAGGACTGGAGGGAAAAAAATAACCAAGGTTACATCATTTAGGATAGACCCCTACACTTAAAATTCTGTAGTTATTAAACTTATACATGGAGGAGGGGAGGAGAAGGGGAAATTAAATAGGTGTCAGTCAGAATGATAACCATATTATAAACTCAAAACATTTTATAAAAATGAAAATAAATCACACATATAGCCAAAAAAAGAAGAAAAAGAATAGCAACCCTTTGGCAGAAAAAAAATGTCTCCAACTTAATGATAACTATGTTCATCATGTAGAAATGTATAAAAATCAAAGACCAAGTACAGGGTTTTTTTTTAAAAAAAAATTAAAGTAAATAAGTGAAGGCCTGTAAACATTTCAAGAAGTTTGCCAAACACAGAAACGATCAGAAGAGGAAAGTGAGGAAGAACAAGATAGCGGAGAAAGCCACCAAGCGAGAAAAAAAACAAACTGCTATCACAGTTTTGAAACTGTCAGCTACAGACAAGATTGGCAAATGTTCAATGCAAAAAGAGGGTTTAAACGTTAAAATAAAAAACAACTAACTTTGCTATTGACTAGATACGGGGTACGGGGTTTTTTTTGTTCATTGCATACATATAAATTATTTATTTTAAATTTTTTACAACAGAGGGTGCTCTCTCTTGATAGAAGTTCCAGCATCTCCACTTCTTTTATGTTTTCACTTCTGTCAGTGTGGTGTAGTTTTGTTATGTACAATCGCAGTGAGCTCGTACGTGATCAACTTTCACAGCGGATGTGCACTTAAAAGTACCCCAAAAAACCCTGAGCATAAAATTAAAGGAGGGAGATGTTCATCCAAAGTGCTTTGCAAAAGAGGTGACTGGGGAGAGGGGATGGATAGATGGAAAGCCAAGGAATACTGTGAGAAATGACTTAGCAATGAAAATGAAAGAATCAGAAACATGTTCAGAGGAAAACTAACGTTCCTATTTCATCAAGGATCCAAACAAGAGCTAAGAGAAGATTAAGGCTAGTTAATGAGCTCATGGTAAAAAGACGTGTGCAGTAACACAGGGACAAGAACGGGATGCAAGGGACTTATTTTCATTCAAGTCTGAGCCGTGGCTAGAGATAGAAGCCCCCCTTTTTCCTGACAATTCCTGGGATAAAATAGAAGACTAAGGGCTAACCCAACCATTAAGCCTTCACAAAGAAATTGTGTGAGCTGGTGATCTAACATTTCACCAATTCTGAAGTGGTAATGCCCACACGTAAGCAGATCAAGGGAGGAAACTAGTGTCATGTACCATCCAGCATATGGTAACTACCTTTATGTTGATCCAGAAACAGAACATTTAGGTGTTCTGTACGAGAGGTAATCTGAAGCCCGAGTGTAGTCCTCAGGAGTCCAGATTTTCAGACCACTCAACTGCATCTTAATGTTAAGAGGTGGTTACTGGCCGTGAGTCTAAACCACTCGACACAAAATTACTATATTTGGAGACAAAGCACAACATTTCATGGCCTTCTCAAGACTGGCAACTCCCTGAAAGAAGGAATGCACAGTCAACTTTTTATAACAGAAAGCCTGGTCTATACCTAATTGCACATCCTTTTCAGTAAGAAGCCTTCAGAAAAAGCTGTCTGAGGGGTAATACTGTCCCTTCTAAATCTTCCCATTTATCTCTTTCAACAATCTAATACTCTATGGAGAAAGGCAGAGATCTTTTAATGATGTAGAGTTAAAAGGCACCTTTGGGTAAAAATTCAGTGTGAGAACTGGCTGCTCACAAGAATGTCAAAGAAAACACTTGCCTCTAGATCCAGTCTCATTTCTTCTGTACATGGCTACTAACCTGAGTTACGTATATTAATATGTGTGACTGTGCACTCCCAACTGCTTAAAGGCATGTTAATTTAACTGCACATTGGAAAGCCAAGGCCAAGTTAGATTGAAAACAGACAACAAATGACTTATCACTTGATCTTGGAGTTATATTGCCGGTCCCATTATTCAACTCCTGCAAAAAGACCTGAGAATGATGTTGAAGCAAATTGCAAGTTTAAGGGCAATACTATTTGGAGACAATAAATGCTTTCTTAGGTGCCCCATTTCTCCTGATGCATAACTGTTGGGAGTTGACCCACAGAAATAAGTACCTTCTTTTACTCCATATGGGATCTCTGCTCTCTTAGCATGAGTTTAGGCATAATAAAATTGGGCAGATGGTGTAGAAATTGAAATCAGTAGTCCAATATCATGAAAATGAAGAGTTGAGACGTTGGCAGGACAGGAACTATTTTCCAAAACTTGTGTCATCAGGAAAACTAGAGATGTCTTTGGCTGAGAGTGCAAATATAAAGTTGGCAGAGAACAGTTGCCTTCTCTATAGCAGCTAGCCAGACCATTCTTGACCAGAATAAACGCTTTGAATAACTTTAATTCACAGTCCAAACCCACTACTTAGTCCAATGGAAGTTTTGAAGCAAGCAGTCATGGTTTTTCAAAAGAGGTAGCAACAGAATGGCAATTTGCAAGCTCTGAACTAGAAAATCCATGTCCAGCAATTCATATTGGAATACCAATTTTGACCAACAGTGCAGAAAAGTGAACTACTGTATCTTTCTCTGGATCCTCACAGGGTCACCTACCATAGTTCAAGCGCTCCTAATTTAGCACAACACAGGAAGCTGGACTAAATTTTATTGCTGGAAATTATATTGAATGTTGAGGTTCGCCCCAAACAGGAACAAGACTGAAAACAATCAGTGTGCTATTCCCCTATTTTTGGCTTGATGCTACAGTGTGAAACCAGCCATGCTGAGAAAACACTAACTGCTTGATATTTGGTGTTCACCTTCCTACCATTTCTACAGAATGCTGTTGTTCCACTATTACTGGTCCCAGGGTAAATATTATCTACCTTGGTGATAAGATGAAAATTGTATGAATTGGCTGGAGGTTTCCCTGCCTGCTAGAACAAGACAGATGAATAGAACAAGTCTCCTTACTGCCTTTCTCGCTTAAGCCATTTTACCATAAGCAAGATTTAAAAGAAATGTCAGTACGACACCAACTTTAAAAAAAAAGAGATGAGTTTATTCCATGATCAGTACAGACCAAATGCATATTCACCGTATTAAAGTAAAACCAATTAATTACTCCAGAGATTGGCCAAGACTGACACACCAGTATTGTACTGTATAGTGGGTATTTATGGCACATAAACATGGAACATTTGAAAGAGTAAAATGAAAAGAATATGCTAAAAGTGCTGAGAAAATGATTACTGCTAAAATGTGAAAGGACTTAATGGAAGACAACAGGAACAGGTCTTCCTTCCTGCCAATCCAAATCCATTCCCATCTCCTTCCCCGGAGTTGCTCTGTTGTGTATAAAAACTAATTTTAACAGACTCCATGACATTTAAAACCCAAAATGTAGTTTTCTGGTATTACAGTTAAAAATATAGACTAAAAGTCTGGAACTGAGCAAAATAGAAGCAGTGTCTTTACAGAGTATGGTGAGCTCACCATAAAACTCAAACAAATATATGCCAACTATATTCACTATACAATACAGCCACAGTCAAACACTATTGACAGGGTGGGAGCTTCCCCTGGTGTTAAGTTTTCCCCACTCCACTCCACTCTGTAATGAAGAGATAAGAATATCTACTCAAGAGAGTTGAGCAGTGCCAATGTATCTGGAGGAAAAGAAATAGATTGAAAGAAACTGACTTTGGTTGGTAGTCTAGCTCAGATTCCTGTCATCCACACAATGCTAAAACAAAAACCTCACTCAAATGGCCAGTTACACTTACTTGACACCTCCACTAAATTATTCCCTTTTTCACAAGCAAACACTTACAGAGAATGGCTCCCAGCTAAAGGCTTGTGGGAAGTTTAGTTAAAGGCAAAGCCAGTGATGAAAGGACCCAAAACAGCTTGTGTGTCTTCCCTGCTAAAGCCCAGGCGGGATCTTTCTGTACACAGCCTCTCAATGCAGAGTGTCTGGTGCTGCCAGCATACAGCACGGTAGCGTCAAAGACATTCTAGAATTCAGAATGCTTTTGGATAGAAAAAGGGCAAACAGCATCAAGTTCTGGATATACTGCAAGTAGGTTTGGCATAGAGAATATCAAGTGATAGGGGGCACCCTTCCCAGCAACTGCATGTCCACTGATGCAAACCTAGCACAGAGTTGACTCATCTTGGTCTCGCTTTCTTCAGTGAGGTTGGGGGATGGGGTAGGGATGGGAATTAAGTCAAATCGTAAGGCAGACTCTGCTGATCCTTCTGAGGCCACAACCGTCACACATGCAGAAAGGCTGCAGGAATGCTCTCCTCCCAGCTGCCAACAACACTATGGAGAGTCAAAAATTTGCTGGGAAATTAAGGAGTTCAGGCAAAGAAAACCAGGTGCTATTAGAAAAGATTCTCTTCAAATATTGCCAACAAATCACTCTGGAAATTCATGTCAATAGTTGATGCCATCTAAAAGGAAAGAGAAAAAAAAATGCAACAGTCATCTGGGTTCACAGGAAAAAAGTATCTCAATAGATTGAAGCAGTAACAGCAACGACCTGATCCAGAACTCTCGTTTATAAAAGGTGATCATGCAGATTAACATTAGCAGAGGCCAGGAGGAAGCCTCATTCACATATCAGAAATCATTTCCCTATCTTATAAAAGAAAGCCAACAATACAAAATATATTATACTGAGGAATGCCTGTGAAGGGGTGAAAAAGGAAACAAAAGGTAAAGGCAAGAAACTAGAATGAGATATAAAGTGACAACAACAGGGGATTCAGCTTGCAAGAACTGATGGTCCAGATTTATGAGACTGAGTTAAAAAAAAGGGGGGGGGAAATGGGAGGAAGGTCAATATTTTGGAAGAAAGAACAGATAAACTTGTATATATGTGGAAAGGATATGTATATGTAGCATGCACAGCATGAGTTTTTCATGGAAAGCGAATAGTTGAAATAAAAGAAATAAGAAACAAGGAAAAGAAAAAGTAGGTATCTGGAGAGAAAAAATCAGAGAGGTAAAAAAATATAAAAGTCTTTTAAACGAACAGTACCAATTTACCAGTAATTTTCAAATTCCCTCAGTATTATCAGTCCTGCTTTACAATTATTTTTTTTCCTAAATTCAATAAAATATTGTTCTAATCTCCAAATAAAGATTGAGATCTTTCTTCAAAAGGATCTAGAAACTCATTTTAATTTGCCTAATTTATATTAGGATGGCACATGTGTTTTGTTTTCCTGCACAATTCCAAAAATGTTTATTTTACTGAAAAATAAGTGCCATTCGGATCTGTAGGATTGAGGTACATTTACCAGAGGCTAGCGTCACACTCAGACAAAGGCTGACATTTCTGGCCCTTTGAAAATGACTTCAAAACTAAACTGCCAAGCACAGCCTTTCTTGCTAATGCAACTGTGAACATTTTCTAAGCCCAGAGGGCAGCGGTCTCTTTCACTTACTGCCTCTCTGCGCCTTCGTTCCTGTTCTTGTTTTCTGAGTTCCTCTCTCTGTTGGTCCAGCATGGACTGCGAAGCCTGTGGCTGAGAGCTCTGTGACGGGGGAGCAGAGGCTGCAGCTGACACCTGCTGCTGAGCCTGGGGATGATGCTGGGGCTGCTGTTCCTGACGCCGCCGGGCTTCCTCGTGAACTCGACGTGCCTGTTCCAGAGCCTCTTCTTCTTCACGACTCCTGTTTATGGATCAGGAATAACAGCAGAATGATGATCTGGCATCCGTTTCACAGCATCAGGGAAACTAGAAATCCCACCTAGCCAATAGGACATTAACTGGAAGACCCAACATCCCAGAGACACCTTGAACACATTGGCAGGAACTGTAGCCTGCAATACAGGTAGTCTTCATTTAGCTTTCACAATTGAGATTGACAACTTGGTTGCTAAGTAAAATATTCGTGTCCACAACTGTGCTTACGATTTTACTTCAGCTTTCCTTTGCTTTACACTGACAGAAGGACATGGCGCCAAACAGTTGGGTGAGCCCAAACAGTGGGAAGATTTCCAAAACCTGATTCATAATGAAGCTGTGTAAAAGGGAAAATCTTATAGCCCCCTCTCCCCACTCCTCCAATCTTTGGAATGTTCACCCTGTCACTGAGATAATTCACAAGAAAAGAATTAATGGATTACATTCAGTGTTTCCCAAACTTGACAATTTTAAGGCATGTGGACTTCAACTCCCAGAATTCCACAGCCAGCGTTGCTGGCTGTGGAATTCTGGGAGTTGAAGTCCTCATGCCTTAAAATTGCCAAGTTTGGGAAACACTGGATTACAAGAAAGTAAGCAGGCATACAATGGGGCATAGCAGCTCACTGAACAGTGCAAGGGTGAAACAAACGCTAAAGATGTGAACCTAATTAAAGTCTTGTCTGTTACAGGCAGCAGTCGGGAGCCGACTAATTAAGATGAGAGAGCCAAGCTTGTTAACTTGCAATTAGCATTTTTGGGAGAAGTTATAGCAGCTCATCGAAGAGATTGTTTGTTAGGCAATCTCTTCATTTATAGTGCAACATGTACTGACTGACTGTAACGGTGAACACATGACTGAAACTGATGCATGAAGGCCATAAATGCCGGTATGGGTTACAAAGTTACTTTTTCATCATCACTGTAACTGCTGAGGCAATCACTAAGTGAGGTCTACTTGTATGAAATCTCCCATATGGCACTGAAAAGCAATAAGGCATGGAAGGCCAGCAGAAAAGTGAAATGAAGGGGAAAAAAAGGAGGAAAGTACCAGTTGACAATGATTTAACCAGTAGTATGCTTATGTTGACTGACTGCACTGTTTTGAGTAACAGACTGCTTTCAGAAAGAATGAGCTGATGTCCAGTATATTTTGAGACTATTTTTTAAAATTAAATTCATATGCCACCTGACTCCCAGAGACTCGTGTATTTTACAAATGATTTAAAACATAAAAAACAAGACAATAAAAATGACAAGAAACAAAAGAAGGGTAAAGATGCCAAGATAACAAACAGGGTGGGGAAAAAAGCAACCAAAATAAAAACAATGTAATTGGCAATGTTTTTAAAATTAAATTAATAAGAAAAGAAGTATTGTAGTGCTTGAGATCAATAGTTTCCCTTGATTCCTTCTTCCTGCACTATCTTCTACCAGTTATGCCTTTTATTTTTATCACCAAACCTCAAAAGCTGTTAGCTATAGTCCCCGTCAAATGGCAAGGAAAGAACAAATTCTGTTCCAAACCTTCACATGTGTTAAATTAAATTTATATGCTGCCTGATTCCCAGCTACTCTGGGCAGTTTACAAATGGTTAAAAATATTTAAAAACAAAGAAACAGCACAAAAATCACAATGACAACATAAAGCAAAACGAACAAAGATGGCAGAGGAAGCAAACCCTGATAGGAACAAAGGAAAAAAAAAGAAAAGATCTTCAGTCAACTTCACCAAACACCTGGGCAAGGACCTATGTCTTCATAGCCCTTCAAAACACCAATAAGGTGGGGCCTGTTTGAATCTCAGAGGGAATTCCCAGTCCAGAGGGCAGGTACTGCTACAAACAAGGCGTGCTTCCAGGATTCAGCCAACCAGATAGTATTGTTTAATCAAAGGAATCCCGCCACATCAAACCAGCTGGGCAGATGCTTTGGCCAGTAACCAGGCAAGTTATATGATGTCGTGTAAGGCATTATAAATGGTAACCAGCATTTTGAATCACACGAGGAAACAAACTGGCAACCAGTACAGCTTGCAAAGCTGCTTGCAAAGCAGAGGTGTTACATGGGCATACCAAGGTATGCTCATCGTTGCCTGCCCTGCAGTTCTCGACCAGCTGAAGCTTTTGGGTGGTTTTCAAGGGCAGCTCTATGTATAGCACATTAAGCGATTAAGCTGTGAGCTGGCCATGGCAGGAACTGCACAGCCTTCAGGCACTGGAACACAACCTCAACAGCCTCACTTGGTTAGCCTGGCATCAAAAGATATAAAGATACGATGATCATAAGCCTCAAACTGGCAGATGTCCTCATCCAGCAGTTTCATGAAGATGTTAAAAAGGAGGGGAGAGAAATTAGCCTGCAACACAAATGAGGGGTCTAGGGAATAATCTCTACCCATCATCCAACACTGACTGGAACCTGGCCGAGAAAGGAAGAGAACCATTGTAAAAAGGGTCCCAATCCTCAAGCCACAAAGCCAGCTCAGAAGACACCATGGCTGACACTACAAGAGCCACTAAAACATCAAGGAGCACAAGAATGGATGCACCACTGCCATCCCAGCTCCATCACATCTACAAGCATGATCAAAGTGGTGTCAGTACTAAATCACAGCCTGAAACCTGACTGAAACAGATCTATATCCAGAGTTCTCATTGGCTATGGAACAGCCACCTTTTCAACAACCTATCCCAGAAACAGAAAGTTGGAGGTTGGTCAACAGTTATCAGAGACCATTGGGTCCAAGGACAGCCTCCACACCAATAACTCTTTAGAGGCTGGGAGCAACACAGCCTCTGTCAAAGAGGCTGACACTTTACCAACGGACCCAATCGCAGGTCACCAATTTTACTGTTATCACAACAAGGTTTTCTTTGTTTAATATTAGAGTTTTCTAGAGGGAAGGCTCAGAATTAATCTTAAAATCCTCCCAAATGCTTTCATCCCATAACATGTGCTTGCAGAGACTTTAAGGATAACATAAAGTACTTTCTCTCTCACACAAACACAATGAAAGAAAATAAACACCACCACCACCATCTCAACTAATTATGTTTCTCACCTCATTCTTTCCTGTTCTCGCCTTTGCCTCTCCTTTTCCTTTTCTGCTTGTTCAGCCTGAGCTTTCAAGGCTTTCTCACGCTCCTCCTTTTCCCGGGCGGCCCTCTTGAAGTGCTCAAAGCTATCACTGCTGGATTTTACTGTTGAAGATGGTGTGGTGGGATGTTTCTGCACTAAACTTGCCCAAGATCCCATATTTTTTATTTTCAAATCCTGTGGAGTAAAGAAGTGCAGGATTAGTAATTAACCTGTAACATGGTGTAATTGGCGCACATGAAAAATCAGAATATCCCCTTGCCTTCAAGTAAGAGATAAAAGTAATTTAGCTGGTAGTCCCAAAGATGTTTTTTCAATGGCTGAGAATCTCCATAGAAATTTAGCTTGTAGTTTACAGACAAAACCCCTCCAAGCTAACCTAGGCTGGAACCAACTAATTACAAATACCCATTTCTGAGGCAGACAAAAAAGGAGCTTGAATGCCAGTGTATTGTACTGGATGCCTTTTGCATCAAAAATTGTGCTGCAGAGTTAAATTATTGGGAATATATTCAGTACAGACAATCCTAGCATGTACAATGTTTTGTACATTAAAGGCTAAACTAAAGTTGTACATGAATATAAGCACGGAAAACAATATTCCCTGATTTCCCCAACTATTAAAATGGCAATTTTTGAGACAGTATTTAGAAAACAAAAGATAAAAGTCAAATTGAAGCAAACATTTTGTTAGCTGACCCTCAAATATATCTTGGAATTAATCTGTTATAAAATTGCATTTTAAGCAATGCATAATGAATGAAGTCAATGAAAAGAAAACCAACTGCTACTATTGTGTACTGTTCTACACCCAACTGATTGCAGTTAATCAACAGGTAGATAAATAGTAAGTGTAACCTATAATTCAGGAAATTAAAAGCAACGTGGGCTGGTAAAATGAGGACCCAGATTGTTGGGGCGATATTCTGACTGTGTAAGTTGCTTAGAGAGAGTTGTAAAGCTGTATATAAGCTTAAGTGCTATTGCTAATATTTCTATATAAACACTTCAGACAATAACATCCTTCTTTGTTAGGATGCAGAATTATCATAGTTCAATTAAAGATTTGATATTGATCACTAGACTTCTAAAGGCACACTAGAAATTTAGAAAATATTAAAGATGCTATGGGGGTTCATGTAACACAAAGTGGACAAATCTTATCAGCCATTTCTGCTTTCTTCCTATCAAAGAAAACAATATATAATTCAGTTACCTTTTTAGGTGCTACTGGTGTTTTTGGTTCCTGTTTCTGTCTCTCTTTGTCCTGGACGCCTGGTGGTGCATTTTGTTCTGAAGGTCTTATAACAGGCCGCCCACTGTCCACTGTCTTAATTTCTGTTCCTGAAAAAAAGAACTGCAACTGTAATAACCTTTTGTCTGGTCAGTGTTATGAAAAAAACATCCTGAAAATGAAGAATTGGGCTGTCCCCCCCCCGCTTAATGTAAACTAAATCAGAACAAAACACATGGAGTTATTAGACAAAGTGATAAATCACTCACGTTGTTGGATATGTACAGGTGGCTTGATGCTTTCGGGGTGTTTGGTAGGGTCTTGCCGCAAGGCAGGGCTAAAGGTCTCATTTCGAATGACTGGGGATTGCATCTTCTCCTCTTTGACCATAGGCTGCGACTGAACTACGGAAGCTGCTCTCAGTTCCTGCCAAAGAAAGACAAACAAACAAAAGCCCATAATAATAATGCCTTTTCATAGCTTTCCCTGTATTGTCTAAGCCTCCCCACCAATAAAAGTTCTTGAAGAAATCTGCTTTCCAATGGATGCCGGAAAAAATGTTTACGGAAACAAACATCTGAATAAACGTTTGTTTATAAGATGCCGTTACCTGCTTTTTTGGCTGAACGTTTGATTGCGGTGGAGACTGGTGCGGCAACCCCTGGAACGATGGCATCTGAGGGGAATGCATCATGAGAGGGGAAGGTGCTTCTCTCAAGTGGCCTGGAATAAGTCAGCACCAAGGTTTTCAGAAAATAATAATAATATAAAAACTCTGGAAAATGCACTTATGATATTCAGCTGACAACTTGGAGAGAAAGAGTTATCTGAGATTTGCTCATTGAAACACCTATTTACGCTCAGTGCTTTTCATTTGCAGAGCTGTAAATGAGGAAATGTCAGTTTAACAGTAATTTGAAGAAGAGTGGTACAAAAGTGACTATAATAGAAGGCAAGGTCAAAAAGGTTATAGTCACTTCTTGAACAGTACAAATTCCATTCAAGATATTCATGCGTGGAATAAAAACGGGGCTATTTTGTGGAAGCCCTGGGCTAAAAGTCTAGCGGTCCAGGCAGTTGACTGGGAAGGAGTCAGAGAAAGTGGGAGCAAACTGACAACACAGACAGTAGAGGCTGGGGTACAGCAAAAGGAACTGGGAAAATCAGGGATGGCCTGAGCTGGGATGGAATATGCCAGGCTGGGAACCACAATTTACTGCAAAGATTATTGCAGTAAGGAACAAATACACAGGACAGTACATCAACAGTGGTAGGAAGGGAGGGAAGACCCGGAAAGGTCAGGGTGGGGAGAATCCATTGCACTGAGACATTAAGCAGTGGATCAGAAGTGAAGGAAAGGGAAGGTGCTAGGAAGATCAGGGATGGTTAGACTGGGCTAGTGGAGACAGCAGGGACCAAAGACAAGCAAGGGAAGGGAAATATCACGTGCAGGTCACAGAAGTGGAACGTACCCAAAAAGGGAGCTCCTTAAGAGGAGAAAGAATGCACACCAGAATTTTCTACTTGTCAAACAAAACCATTCTAAGATTTCTTTAGATTTGGCTTCATCTGAAACTTAGAAGAATTTAGAAGTTCTGGGACTTATCTCTGCCAAAATGTACCTGACCCAAAAAGATTAAGCAGAAATTTCATACACTAAAGACCTGAGAAAAAAATAAAACATTTTACATGTATATCCACTATTCCACTTGAATATTAAAAACAAACAAACAATAAGAGTTGTTTGACAATGGGACCAATTACTCAAAGCTGTGGTAAAGTCTCTTTTATCCAAGATGTTTAGCAGATACTGGATCACTCTGAACTGGACCACAGAACGAGGGACAGACTTAGTAGCCTCAACAGCCCCTTACAGCAACTTAATTCTGTAATACCACTGAACAGGCAATTGAAGAGGCAAAAAGCATAATTTGCTTATACCTTTTACAAGTAGCTTTTCCAAATAAAGTGAGTCCACAAAGAGGGACAAGGCACCGAAATGAAATCTAAAAATATAAGCCACTAAAGAGTATTCTATTGCTCTACAAACATAGTTGGATATACATCTGCCATTTTTGGAATTTATAAAGCAAGGCCAAGTGAAGGATAGGGGAGAAACAAATGAAGGATGTTCACTGGACAACGAACACCAAGCATATTTTTTCTCTTCAGGGATTTAGCTGAATGCATGCAAAGCCAGAACAGAGAAGAGAATGGGAGGAAAAGCCATCCTGTGTTTTCTGTCTCCAAACTTCCACATATTCAAGTGAAGGTCTGAACCAAAAATAATGCTGCTCTGGCTTGAATACAAATGCAACTTCGTGCACACTGTACATCTGTTATTTTGGACTCTGGATTGCATGTTGAACTCCACTTCTATGATCTTACGGAGCTTATGGAGAGGTAGAAAATAAAAGTGTATGTTAGCAAAATTTCACGTTTTTGGTTAACGTGAAAACATTGTAGAAAATAATATATTGAAAGCCATGGCTTCAGCAAGTTTTTAGGTTTCGTATTTTATGCAACCAACCATCTTGAATATGGAAGTGGAATATCAACTGAATAAGCAAACAAACAAACAAACAGATGATCTTAAGAGAAAAGGGAATAATTCTTGTCAGAAAAAAACAGGTTCCTTTCACTTACTTTACTCCATTTCCTCTTTACAGGACTCTTTTAAAGGCAACAAGCAATTTCCCACAAGTTTTAAATCACCGTTGTGACTTCCATTCACCTGTCCAGATGGTAAGCACCTAACAACCCCTCCATTCAGCCGCCACGCTTCGTGCTCAAACCACTCACCTGCTGAGTAGGGGTCTGGCTTGTGATGTCTTGGTGGAGAGTGGTGCTGGATGACTTGCTGGGGTTTTGACGATTGCTGTGGGGCTTGAGGCTGCTGAGGGGGCAGATGTGGCTGGGGCGGTGGTGGAGGCTGTGGAATATGGGGTGGAAATTGCATGGACTGCATATGTACTGGCCTCTGCTGTGACGGATGTGGTAACTGTTGCCCGGGAGGGTGAGGAGGAGGTTGCAGGGAGGGCTGAGGCTGCGACTGCACTTTCACTGAAGGGAGGAGAGAAGTCTGTGGCTGCGCCTTCTGCAACTGCTGCAAGTAGAGCTGCATCTGACTATTGCTCAGCGGCAGGTTGTGGTGAGGAGCAGGAGGCTCTTCGTCCTCCAGAAGCACCTGGGGAGGCTGGGGGAGGGGGGGCTGGGGAAGCAGAGGCTGCTGGTTAAGAGCCGGTGACACAGCCGGAGGCCGAGGAGGTTTGGGGGGGAGTGCTGCGGCTCGATTACTGGGTCTTGAGGGTTGCTGAGGCAGAGCATTGTGCAAAGCTGAGGAGAAAACAGTAATGTTACATTAAATATTGTGCAACAGGACCCGTGAGATCATCATCATCATTAATTTATTTTTATTTGTTCCTCAGCTAAAACTACGATTGCATTATTCTTATTCCACTCCATTATTCTTATTATACTCTTATTCCAGGAGTCAAGGCAAAATCTGTACAAGCAGCTGAGAACTAGATAACTCATTTTGGAGTAAAACTGTAGGACATGTTATAAACTATTTCAAAGAAGGACTCCCCCCCCCATCCCTAACTACTCCCTTCATACTACTTTTCTACCTGAGTACATTTAACATAAGGTGACATTAAATAGATGTTATTCCCCATTTGGAATAATGCCGTCCATTCTATCATCTCAAAATTTTGTCTTTGCTCCACCGATCGAATTACAATCAGAGGAGTGATACCCTTCATAACATCAATTATGATTGTAAAACATGCAAGCCTGGATAGCAAATCCCACCCTTTCTATCTTGTCTCTGTTTATACATGCTGGTGCTCATTTACTGCAAAGCTCCACTGGGAAAGAATGATGTAAGAAGAGGTGGATTGCTAGTTCTCACAAATTCATCATACAGGTTCTAATGCACCTAAAAATGGTTTACCTGGAGGGGACACTACTGCATGTTGATTTAAGTGAGGAGGAGTGCTGTGCTCAGGCTGCTGGGGGAGATGAGGTGGCATCTCAGGTGGGGGAAGGTGCAGAATAGGCTGAGTGAAATGTGAAATAGTGTCAAACATGTTCCCTGGGAGTGGATGCTCCATAACTGGGATCTGCGTCGGAACAAAAGCTGGAGGAGAAGACTTGATTGTGGTGGCTGCTTGCTGAGGGACAGATGGAGGTGGTGGTGGTGGTAACTGCGGTGCTTGCACCTGCTGCTGTTGCTGCTGCACCTGTGGATGGTGATGATGATGATGCTGCAAGAAAAAAGCCAGTCCTACAATCAGTGCAAAGCAGTTTTGGAATGAGCCATTTTTTGCACAGCAAATTAATAGTGAAAAAAGGGTTTTTTCCTTTTAATTTCTCCCTTTCACCAAGGGCTCTTTTCTATATATTTCTTCAACCTATGTGGGTTTTGCAAATATGAATACTTAACTAATTCTTTGCAATAAGAGAAAATGAACTGGATGGGGACCGAAGATCCACTAGAAAATCATGTAAAACCAATATATATTTATACACAATATACAACCCCTGTATATTTTGTATACATTTAGGGGGGAACATCCAGGTCCATATATAAATGATAGTATAAGTTTAATGTTGAACCAACTTGACAATCAATACAAGTTTCAGCAGTTGGAAGCAACAAAACAATGGATGGATTCTGATGTGAAAGGCAAGACACGTGTATTAATTAAACATTTAACTTCTTGTATTGTACACTGGAGATTGACAAAGGCCACTCTTTTGAAGACAACAAAGTCCACATTTTGGACAGAGGTTTGAAAGAAGGGTCAAAGAAGCCATCTATCTCAAAATTGAACAGCCCTCTCTCAACAGAGGGGGAGGGATCCGCCATCATCTATCTCCAGTCTACAACAGTCCTTTCAACAGTTCCAAGAAGGCTCCACACCTATTTGCACTACTCAGGTGACCCTGACAACACAGATAAGATTCCAGGTAGCACTAATGACTTGCTAACAGATTGCAAATGACCAGCTGTCTGCAAGGAGTATAAATCTTTCCATTCCCCACCATCCAGTCAGAGCTGAAGAAGCTTCTTGGGTGAAAAATGAAGCGTATTCAAAGAAAAACAAGTAAGTTCAGTTGCCTCTTGAAAAAGCATCTTTGGGATAAAATGGAACACCACTTGTACACTATTGGCACTAATCAAATGACCATCAGTCAATTGCAGATAGCAGCTTTACTTCTGTGACAATAGCTTTAACACTATCAAATGGCAACCTCTGCCTATCCTGGATCCTCAGGAATGATTCAATAGATAGCCAGAAATGCCAAATCCAGTTTAAACATCTGACTGTGTGAGCAGCCTAGTACACCAACTGACTCTCAACTCTAGACTGCTTAGAACAAGCAGAAGTACAGCTAAATCAATAAAAATAAAAGACGGCAAGAGTGATGAAGGACGGTGTCTCAGTCTCCTTTGCCACAAAGGCCTTGTGAAGATCCAGGTAGGTCTTCCAAATGGCGGAAGTAACAACTTTAAAAAAACCCAACGATATTCCCTTTATCTATTCTTCTGCTAACTCAGAATTGGAAGTTTAGTTCCAACAGTAAGCAAATGCTTGCCTGTGACCATGTCTAAGAGCAGAAATAATCAAAAGTTTTAGAACCAAAGTCCTGGATATAACGGAGGTACAATCTATTCCTAATGCAAGGAAGCCTAAATAATTAAAGTGAATGCAGCTCTTCCTTTTCTTTTCAGTAGGGCCTAAAAACAATTTGTTTAAAAACAAATTTGTGGAATGCCGAACAAAGGATTATCATTAATCAACGTTAATTTACCCCTTCAAAAACGTACCTTCTTTTGTTCTCGACCAGGATGTCCTTTTTTCTTAATTTTGGGGGGCATTTCTGTGGGAAAAGAACAATAAACGATTACTGCATGGCAATGCTTTTGACCATGAATCATTTTATGATTAAGCCACTGAAATCCAAAGGCACAGCCCTGATACTTCTAGCTTACACTGAACATTTGAATCTATTTGCTTACTTATTATACAGAATAAAATATTTTTACAATGAACTTTATTAATTAGTGTAAGTTGTTGAGGCTAAGCCTCAATAATTCATCTCCCAGCATACCTTTCATTGTGTCTACCTTCCATGTAATTTTAAAGGCAGTAAACAAAGAAAAATGATGTTTTGCATTTAATGGGTAACACCTGGAATAGCCTATAGGAATTTACTACATTATTTGCTCAAGTTTGTGTTGCACATAAATCACCCAAGGTATTTTCACACACAAAAAATTACATTTTACTTTCATGATTTTGGCTGCTTTTTGATATTTAAGTTTATATCAAAAATGTATTTTTCCCCTTTGGGGGAAAATTAGTAAGCTGAGGTAACTCAACTGTTACCTATTTCTGGAAGGATAGTTAGGACTGTTCTGCTTATGTTCTTAAGTAGACATGAATGTGTCTGAAAAAGTTGTACTATATATGCCTTTTCTTCACCAGAAAATTTTATACAACTCTATTATAAAATGTTAAGAAAAACGTGGTCTAATAAAAGATAGCAGTAATACTTGAAAATTCATTATGAAGACAAGTTTCTTGTGAGAGGAGAAAAGCAAAATTTCCATCTCTACTCTCACAAACTAAAGACAGTAAATATAGCAAAACATTTTATTTATACAGTTTATTTTAACATGTGAAACAGCAGTCACTCTTTTTTTTACAAACAGAAAGCATTAAGCATTATTTCAGATTTTATCAATTTTTTAAAAAAAGTATAGAATGGCTGATTATATGAAAAAATATACCATTAAGACTTATTGGGGGGGCACTAAGTCAGCAGCATGCCAAGACTAACAGATTCTTAATCTATTGTTACAGATTTGCTTCACTACAGAAAATTCACAATTATCCCCTTTATTCCTTTTTCATATCCTTGCAATTTATACAGATGCTAAAAATTTTACTATTTGTCAAATCTTTACTGTGTTATATTTAGAGAACTTCTGTTAAGATGCTTTTTATATATGTGCAATACAATGTGAAAAGCTACCACTGAGACAATTTACCCAGGAGGCAATAGCTGTGCACTGTGAGCCACAAGTAAAATTGAACAAAAGAATGGTAGCCAGTCAACACTGAAAACCTGAAACTGTCACTAATTCTAACCAGGCATCTTTTAAAAAAGTAATACTTGCACTATTTGCTAAATTAGAAAATATGCCCAATACACATTAAACATTAACGCTTTGACATACTAACACTATGAACATTAAGAAAATGTTAAGTTATACATTTTGTTGGAACAGATAGTATATATTAAAAACATAGACATATGAATATGAGCAGCCTCTGCAAAATACATGCTTTGCTGGGGTTATACTGTTCATCCAAATCTAAGTGCTATACCAAAGAGATATACTGCAATCCCATTTTATGTAAGAGGACAAAGAGGAATAAAAATATAGAATAATGATTACGGTTGAGATACCAAAATATTGAATCTATATTTGCATGGATGAGTAGCTTTATTGTTGTGTCTGGCAAGATAAAGCACCCCAATTAGTTCATATAAACAAAATTGTTAAAAAAAACTTGCCAAGAACTTTAAACTCACAAGACTCTTTGACTTATAATTTGAAGATCGAGACTTTCAGAATCTAGTTCATGACATATTTAGTACTTAACATTATCAAATCTAAGTTAATTTTCCATCTGAAAATAAAACTCTACTCTAAGAATAATGCTTCTAACAGTTTAATTATGAGATGATTTCTAAATTAATAATTACTATGTTAAAAAGAAAGCCTAACTTAAAAATAATAGATGCTAATGTTCAATTGTATTGGGCAGACAAAATTAGGAAAAGCCTGATGATGAAAAGCAAAAGGCTGATTCCCAATTTCTTCACAGAAATAAAAATCCAACAAGTTTTCTTGCAATAAACATGGAGATGGTTTGCTGCTGTCTTCTTCCAAGTATTTTAAACGCCCTGCCAATTTTTTTTAAAAAATCCTGATCTAAGTTATAACCCTGTGATTCCTCAGAAGTCTCCTATCAAAATACTTACTGTGAGCCCCACATGGAAGTAACTTTAGGGCAGTGGTTCTCAACCTTTTTAATGCTGCGACCCCCAACCAGTCGTAAGTCGAGGACTACTCAACCAGTCATAAGTCGAGGACTACTCAACTGGTGCAGCACCGTTTGCAGAATGGGACTTTTGGCGGGCTCAGCAGGGCAGAGACAGCCTGGACAATTCCTATTGGCTTTTGAAAGCCAATAGAATTAGACTCTATTCAAGAGAGTCTATTCTATTGGCTTTCAAAAGCCAATAGAATAAAAGGGAGTAGCACAGCTAAGGAAAAGGGGGAAAAAATGGCGGACTGCATTGTTTGGCGACCCCCGTGAAATGGCCGTTCGACCCCAAATGGGGTCCCGACCCACAGGTTGAGAACCACTGCTTTAGGGGATAAACAAGATTGGATGTGTGCTGCCATCTCCTGAGATACTAGGCGTAGATGTAAATGTTTAGCTTAAAATAAGAAAACATTATTGTAGGGCATTTCCAAGCTCAGTTTAGTTCAGCAGTATGTCTTCCCTTGAAAAATCACTGTGCTGTGGTTAAATCATCAGAGTCTATGCCAATGTCTTCATAAATGGGAAGCTTTTAATAGTATATACTTGTATTAATTTCAGTAATATACTTTACTGTTTTTCCTTTAGGAGCTTCAAGAGGAAATATAGGGGATAGTAACTGCATTTTACAATAGGGTGCTATACTTTATATATTTATGTATTACTTGTTAGCATTTCAGGTTTACTGTGCATTCTCAATTGGCTGACAAAAATAACAAAATAGTTAAACCTCAGTAAAAACACACAATAATATAGTCAAGATACATTAGTCCTGCATAAAACTTCTAGACAATAATAAATTTGGGATCATATATGATGGTACCTTGGTACTCAACTGCTTTGAAACTCATTGAATTTATACTCAAAGCATTTTGACATGAGCATTTTGTCCTGGTACTCACCGTTTGTTTGGTACTCAATGCACAAGCTAGAACTTGACAGTCTCGGCTGCCTTGTAACTCACTAAATTATTCCTTATGGAAAAACATTTATTTGCTACTTGTTTTTTGTACTCATCACAACTTTCAGAACCAGTTAAGGATGAGTACTGAGGTACCAATGTATATTGGTTGAACTAAGAATGTAGTTCAGGGTGGAGACAGTTGTTTGGTTTAAAAAAATTGCATTAAAACTTTAAACCAAAGTAATATATTTTAAAGCTAGATATAGCTGTTCTATAGGAAATTCATTCTAATTGGACTGCACTATATTATTTTTGTGATTGTGTAACAAAAGAACTTTTGTACAAAAGGTACAAAAAATATTTTATAGAAGTTAACTTTGGTAGAGGCAAATCAAATGACTACTTTTTAATTCAAACAAAGCATTTTCTTTCTTCTCCTTCCCCTCCTCCAGTTGCACCCAATGTGCATGTTCTTATTTGCTTTAGACGATCCATCCTGTAATCTTCTACAGAAGATTTGGAGAAGGGATTAATTTCCCCAGCAGACAAATACCGCTGGATTTAATTCTTAAAATATTTCTGGCATCATTTGATTATAACTCATTTCTTGTAATGTGTGGTCATGCACTGCCTGAAGTATTTCTCTTCTATCCAAAATATATTCCCTCGAAGAATGCAACGTAAGCCAGCATTTCACATTTTTAATGTAATCTAAATTACACTAAGTTTATTTGTAGCAATCTAATAAAACTATACACAACATCCTAAATTGTTCTTCATTACAGGATCATGAAGCAACACTGCCTAAACATATTTGAAATTAAGGAGTAGGCCAAAACTGAAGTGTGTATTTTGTTTTAATTGTCTCTGTAGAAATCTTACTAAAATACAGGTAGTCCTCAACTTATGACCAAAATTGAGCTCAAAATTTCCGCTGATAAGCAAGAAGGATGTTAAGTGAGTTTTGTTCCATTTTATGACTTTTCTTCCCACAATTGTTAAAAGAATCGCTGTGGTTATTAAGTGGATCTGACTTTCCCATTGACTTTGCTTGTCAGAAGGAACACTGCAAGTGTCATAAATACATGCCAGTTGCTAAGCACCCAAATTTTGATCACATGACCTTGGGGAATGCTACAATGGTAGTAAGAGTGAAAAGGGGTTTTAAATCGCTTTTTTTCAGTGCCATTGTAACTTCAAATAGTTACTAAATGAATGGTTGTAAGTTGAGGAGTACCTCTACCACAGTAGTTTAGACAAAGTAGTAACGAACATTTCAGAAATCTTAAAATCTGCTTAATCTCAGCTTTAAAGTAATTCTTAATTAACATTATTGAATACCTCTCACTAAGTGATTCAAGAATCTCATGTTTGCCAGACTTTAAGAACCCATTTTTAAATGGGTTGGCCTGAAAGTAGTGTATAGCTGCTTCTGTTTATATAATTGAATCCTTCTACCAGCTGCCTAACTATTACTCATAAGGCACCTACCAAGACTGAAGATCTTTCGGAAATGCCTTTCCAGGTGGCATAAAAATAGTCCTCCCTGGACAGTCTGTGCAGAAGTACTCTCTACACATAAACAGGGAGGATGATCCAAGCCTTGTTTTTCCTGCACACTTCAAACAAGGAAAATAAAATTTTGAATTCCTATTTGGTAATCACACAATAGAATATTTATGATGTGATGTTTAAAAAGTTTATTTCCCTGCTGAACTACTAAAGAAACTAGTGTCTTTTTTTTTAAAAAAAGGGAGGACATGAATATTCATTTTCAAATGTCAAAATTAAGTGTTATTACAATGTTAATTATCATAGAAAAAGTAGGTACATTTTTTCCAGCAAAAATAAATTCT